GAGTGACAGCTTTTCATGTTTTTTTCACATACCGTGCGCATTTGAAAATTAATTGAAAACAAAGGAGGTGACCGAAAAAATAATCTGAATGCAGGAAGAGGTTTATTCTGAAAAATTTGTCATGCCACTTGCTCTTTTGTGAGGAAGTGAGAAATGCTTGCAGTGATGATATCACCCAGGTGCAGAAAACAGCGAGTGAGACAATTCCGTTTCAGCCAAGAAAAATTTATCGCTCATTTCTTGGGGGAACTCTATCTACTCGCGTCAATTTTACATCTTTTCATCGGCAGTAAGTGAATGTCGAAGGACCTAAGGGAGTTCTTTTAGTGAACTTGGCTTTGACAGAAGTGCCTTAATGTTCAGAGATCGATGGCGCCAGTTGGTCAACTCCAATATTCGTCTTTCTACAATCAAATCATTGATGGTGATGAGATAATTAGAGTGATAAATGCGGCGGGTACCACTACTGCGAACCGAGAAAACTTGGGATATCTTTTCGCTTTTCTCACTTGTTCAATAAGTCTTTGATTTTGTAAAAAAATGGAGAAAAACCGAAATAAATCAGGGCATTCGTTGTTAAATTTGGAGTGAGAACGTGGAGCTTTCGTAAACCATTTATGTGCACCAAGTGGTCCGAGTAAACCATTTAATTGCAAAACAAACCCTTTCAAAGCATGATAAACCATTTCAAGACAGCAGGGGTCATCGATTACAGCTCAGCATGATCAGTAGGAAGCAATGTGTAGGAAAGTAACTAGACACTTTAAAAGCGCAAGAACAAACTGATAACCGCCTAAAAATTTTGTGTCAGCATTGGATGCTAAACGTCGAGATGATCTAAGTGTTGCGCCGAAAACATTAACAACTCATCCATCCCTCAGCTTAACTATCAATTGTTTCGTTGAAGCTTTTAGCGAAAAATCCGCGAGAAAAAGCCACAGGAATTCGGTACCATTCGCTTCTGATAAAACGCCTACTCTGTAATACTATCGAGCCATCAAAAAACACGGTCCTCCCACTTGAACTGATCACAAAACCTCTCTCTTGAAAAGTTATCTACTGTGCTCAAGTTATCGCGGTCATTATTTTATCACACCGAAAAACTAAAAACTGTAAAAGATTTGATTTCAATCAGATCTTTCGCAATATGTGTTTCACTCGAACTCTCAAGTCGTCTTTTACATTTCCTCTTAATTACCATTAATCGACATTTCCTGTAAAAACAATCTTGAGGATTTAGCGACAAAGAGGTATTTCCTGTTGTTTTGGTGGGTTGTTCTGTTTGTTGACGACAGCATTCTTTAAAAATGATTTGTGTTCTAATGACTACACATTTACGCCAACAAGCCCTTGGACTCCTCACGTAGCCATTCAAACATCTTCATGGGAAGTTTTCCCACGCCGTAATTAAAGAAAACAAAATTACAATTGATCACCTTGTGTGATGTTTACCGACACTGTTTGAGATAATTTTGTCATTGAACCTCAGCAACAACGCATAAGTGAGACATCGAGCATGTTTCATTCCTTTCGTTTTCAAGATCACATATCAATTCTCCTTACACTCTGCTATACATTTCTCTTTATTTTACCTCGAAGAATTTGGTGAAAAATCAAACAATGTCTACGTGGTGAAATTTTTCTTAGTTCTCGTCACCTTTCTGCAAGACGATGTATAGATAATTTAGGGAGAAATTACACATTGATCACCTATAGCTACAATAAAAAGTGATAATTGGGAAGAATCGGGCGTTAAACTGGCAGCGTCTTGACGAGGGAAATTTAACTTTTGATGAGCCTCGATGATGATGCAATCGAACAATGTAATTGGTAACGCCTAACGGCAGTCCACGTAGTTAGAAATGTCGTTGGCAGCTTCTGTGGGGCGAAAGAACTGCGGAATACGCCGGTGAAAATATTAGTGCTCGAGTTGTAACATGAATGAAGAATTCTGTAGGATAATTGAACATCTCCTATCCTGTTTCGGCTCTAGCCCGGCGATTCTTGATCCGTTTTGACAAATTCGTTACGTTAACTGCAAACATCGAGAGAAATGGCCGAAGCTGGTTGGTGAAACAGTCACCTGGCCAGCAACAAAAAGCCAAAGGCATGAAATATCCATTTTTTTTACGAGCATTTGACAAAGTGCTTCACGCTTTTGAAGAAGAGAGACTAGGAGCAACTAAGCGATGATGATGACTTTCACGAACGTGATCTCTCGAGATCACGAGTGCTGCGTTACGAGAATCCGTGAAAGAGTTAATGGCCTTATTTTGACATTCTTTTCAATCAGAAGCTTTAACAAACTCATTTCACAAGTTCACCCAAGAATCTTGTGACATTGGTCTGTCGTTTTAGCTGGCAACCATATGGGACACGCCATACAAGTGTTTTGCTGGAGAGAAGTGGTTTGAATAGGTAATGAATCAACCATCTGAGACACAAGCACAATGAAACGCTAAAAGACGCGAGTTGAAGAAAAATTATTTCGCTGCGTTTCCTCTGATCACCGTTTCTGGAGTGATAGAGACTGGCTTAGAAAACAAACAGCAAACAGACGCATCCGTTCTAAAATCAGTCGATTCAATCTTTTTACAGTATGAATTTTTAGCGCAAACCTCAGTTCGCGTAACAATTTCGAATTCCAAGTTATGATGTCTCTCCACTTAAGTTATAAACACAAAAACTTTCTTTTTCATTTTATTTTCAGTCCAATTTGTTATTTATAACAAACCGCTGCTTAAAAGATTTGGCTTAACAATGGATCGCGTGCAGATTAGTATCGCGCGCAATTTACAACATAATTAAAATTGAATGAGCGATGACAAGCAACAAAAAATACAAAAGAATTTTTCATCCTCAGAAAAAAAAAAGAAAAAAGAAAAGATAGTAAAGACAAAGAGCCAAGACCTAAGATTAAAAAAATAAATCATTCAAGCTCTGTTCGTGATTAGATCAACCTTTAAATTACTAAAGAACGAAAATGTTCTATAGAAAAATCAACTTATCTGGAGTAGTAAATGTCGCCTTACATGTGACGGGCAATACAACTAATGGCAATAACTCAACTACACTCCCGAAGTTTTATCCCAACAAACTTTAACTACAACTGTATATACTTGAAGTCAAACTCAAAGCAAGAAAAAGGTGACACTTTTAAGGATCCTGATTATCATTACAACACATATCAGAATAATGAATGTTCACAGAAAACGTGTGGCGGGGTTCATCAAAAAGACCAAAGAGGATCTCCTTCATCGTCGCCTTCAAGTCTAACAGAGACAATGGCCATTAAGTCCATAAAATATGAAAATAAAAGCTACTGACTTCACTGTCACCTTGGTAGGAATCTACGTGACGAGTAAAATCATTGAGTTGAAAGGCGCACGGTCGCTAAAAAAAATCTGTTATCGACTCCTGAATATTTACAGTTTTAAGTTACATCGCACTATAGTCACGGTTTTTTTGCCATCAAACCTTCACTTATGACAGTGGGCTAAAAGTGTTGAGTTCGCCCATTTGTAGAGTGGAAGAAATTTAGGTAAGAAGGAAAAGTCATTTTCAAATTCGCATGGAGATATTTCAAAAATTATTTTGATAAAGTAGGTTTTTTTCCCCTCTAAGTTTAGCGGAGTTTCAAAGCCCTGACCGTCTGCATCAAGCTGGGATTTTTTATAAACTACAGTGTTGTTTTATTCAGCGCGAAATTTGGGAACAAACCTGGATACTTATCCGTAATTGATAAAAAATTTACCACGGGTAAAACGTACGCTTATGGAAAATAGGGGTGGATAATGCCTAGTAATACGACTCATTCAAGATCTTCCTGTTTACGTTTGGTGTGGATCTCTGCTACTTTAGCGCACATTAACCCATACAAATGGTCCTTGTGAAGTTTTCCGAATTGGCTAATCTTATCCTCACGGTAAATTTATCCTTGTATAAAATACCGTGTTTATAAATGAAACACAAGTGTTAAAAACTTGTCCAAGAATGAATAATTCTGCGATTGAATGACATAATGAGATGGAACAAAGTGAACGAAAACATACTTCGAATATTTAATTACTCAGCGAAGTTTGTCGTCAATAGTTGTCATTGTTTATTTCGCTACAATGAAAACATTTTTTCATGTCCTTAAAAAGAAAAAAAGATAGACACCTTAAAAAACAGTGTTATCGCGTGGGAAAATGTTCCTCTGCTGAAAGCGGAACTGCGACCCAAAAATAGCTCTTACTTCATTAAAATCTTTCCGCCTTTACTAATTTCGAGGAAAGCCGCCGCATCGGTCCACACCGAGCCCCCATTTCGTTAGACAATGAGGTCAAAAGTCTGCGCATGAGTAAACGTTGAGGAAGTCCAGGCTATGAGAACCATGTTGCCTTGCACGAGTTACAGACACGGTCACGGTGTTTTAAAATATAAAGCTCAAAATTAAATGATAAATCAACAGCGAGCGAAATCAAACAAGCTTTGCGTTCAAGTCTCAAGTTTTCCTTTTTCGATTGTTTTCTTTCACAGCTATCTATGAACGTTTAAATTTGTTACGCGTATTTTCCGTGAAAGCTGCTGCTTCTTATGATTCCATTTATTATTTTGCGCGGGAAATTGGCGCACGGCCGGCAAAAAATTGATCCCCTTACGCGTGCCCGGCATGGCAAGGCGAGTGAAAACGACATGTTAAGAAGGAAAGCATTTCGCTTTTCTTGTCTCTTGCTGTATATTGCTTGCTCGCCGTTTCAATCGTCCTCACTATGAACCTAATACAGGTGCAATGCACTCAAATTCTCAGACGCAAAATACAAGTTTCCTCCAAGGGTGTCAGACAAACTTGGCCCTCTCTCTCTCCCTCCCAATCTTCCCACCAAATGAGTCCAATTTGGGTTTTAAACCATTTTGAGGTGGAACAAAAGAAAGTATTATTCGACCAGTTACTTGTTGGCAACGACATGAGCTTATGAGAACATCAAACATTCAACGCATGATTTTTTTCTTTCAGAATTTTTTATTGGCGAGTGGAGCGTTTCGGCGAGAGGAAAGATTTCCATTATTCATTGTATGGATATAAAAACTACATATAAGCTTTAGCTACTATTATCAGAAAATAATTTTCTCATTTGAACACAAAAGTGATACAGAGGAAATCCCATGACATTGAAGTAGTCGCCATGTATAGACTTGACCAGTGTGCCACCAATTCCCTGAATACCATATTTAACTGATGTTAAGGAAAACAGTGAGATTTTCAAAGCACATGCACCGAGCAATTTTCAACAGTGTCGAAAGCATCCCAGTATAGCTTTGGTTTTTACTTCAATACGCTTTGTGATTGGTCAAGAAAAAACTCTCACCAACCTCTGTAAAAACTAAAGCCAATCGTAACTTAGTCACTGGCGCTTTCCCGTGCTGAAGGAATCTTGCCTGTTTTAACATTTATTTCTTATTGGCCGCGAAAATCAATGAAGAAAATAGTACAAATAAAACATGGAAAGTTTCAAATTTACTCTGATAGAAGAAAAATGGAGTGGCCTTAGTCCCAGAGGCAGGGCTTCTGGGTCGCAAGACTCAGAGCCTCAGCGACTCAAACACCCAGCCTCCTATCTAACGAGCGGGGAAAGAAAAAGAAAGAAAACGGCTCGTTCTAGCCCTTAGTTTTGGTGCAACGCCAATGTTCTTCACTGGCTCGCCAACAAAACAAGGACTGCTATATAAACAGTCTGAGAGCACATGCTCAAGGATCTGTGCCCTGTTATGTAGTACTTACAGTATATTCAAGGATATGATCCGGCCTTGTCCCTGAGAAGAAAAAAAAACCTTTGTGGAAACTTTCAAAGCTGAAGACGGACCGAGACCGAGGCATTGCCTCGCTGCAGGTTCACCCCCAACTAGTTTGCCACACATCATGGCAAGTTCGCCTGAAAAAATCTGTTGCCTCGTTTCCTTATGGCAAAACAGTTCCTTTATCACCAAATTAGCAAGCGTTTGATGCAGGTGAAAAATTTAGACATACATGAAAACATACAGTTAAATCTAAAAATTAAAAAAAAAAAAAAAAAAAACAGACAAATTCACCAAGAACTCACATTGGCTCTCCAGTTGCAATATATGCCTGGATCACTTCATCTGTTAATGTTCCAAATGACACCAATGTCTCCTCATAAAACTGGGTTATGCAGGGTTCTTTAAGCCAATAAAAGACAAGAAGTTAATTTTCTCATAAGGTACTAATCTGCTCAATTATCTTAAGATTAAATTCATCTATCAACAACTTCCTGAAAATCACTCCAAGAGGAGAAATTTAGTTAATTAGTTTAATTCTATATTCAATATTATGTTAATTAATTTACTTCTGATTAGTCTATGATTATGAAAAGAGGATTAAAATTTGACGCAGTTTAGCAAGTTTAATTTTGACTGTTTCAGGAAGTTTTTGCATTTTGATTTCCATTTGAAGAATACCCCACACTCCACATGGACCTCACTGATCCTCAGGAATGGTACAAGACAACTAAAATGGAGAATTTGGTCTTGGATCTGGTTAACCCTTTAACTCCCAAGATCTCATTTGTATTTCTCCTTACTGTCAGCCATACAATTCATATGATGTAAGTTTGGAGAATTTGGAATTGGATCAACTAATAATCCCCTAATTGATATTTTTCTCTATTCTCTTTACTTGTCTGCTTGATATTGTACTGGTAGCATAAGGAGAAATTCTGTCTTGATCACTAGTGGGACTTATAGGGTTAAACTCCTTCTACATTCAAATTTTTTGATTATGCAAGGGCCTTTTCCTCTTTTAAAAACATTTTTGTTGGAAAGATTTTGAGTCAAAAGCCGCAAAGGGGAAATGAACAATTTTGGATAGCCTTACCCATGAAACAACTATCACAGTGCCACACTACTATAGTGATATATTTCACAGATAATTGTATAAATACCTTTGGCACCCTCTCTTTGTAAAAGAGTAACCCCACTGAATACTGCATGATCCTTACCACTCAAACTGAAAAAATATGCCAGTACAGTTGTTATGAAAATATCACCACAAGATCAGAAAAATCAAGTTGGAAGATTCATTTAAGTAGATGCACATACACATGTCCTTGAGTGCTTATTATGTTAAATGTAAACACAAATGTTAAGTATTCTTCATGCTTATTTCACATAAACATTTGACATGTATGCCAAATTTTCCATGTGGAAGGGAAGTGGAAAGTTTTTTAAAAGTCTGACACACATTGATTTTATTTGATTTTCAAACAGCTCTACATTTACACAGAGAAATAAAAAGATTTGCAGCTTAAGACTAATGCACATCCATTTAAACCCAGACCTCCTGTGGGGCACCTCAGACAAGAAAAAAATCATGAACTTATTCACCTTTTTAACATTGAATATGCATTTTCCTTGTCTTTTGGTTTTTCAAGAATAACTTCATCTAAGACCTGCCAATGCAAAAAAGTTATTGATGCAATTATGGTTTTCAAGAAAAAGAAGACTATGGGATGTACCTAATGTGCTGATGGAAGAGTAAATAAAAACCATCATTCCTTCCTGATGTAGATTTTTCTGCAGTTAGTCCTTCAAGAAAAATTGACATAAATGTAAGATCTACTTACAACAACTGTATCAGATCCAATGATCAAGGTGGGTTTATCACTCTGGAAAGTAAGCAAATCTTAATTAACCCTTTGACAAGCATCAAGTTTCTCCATAAAATGTCGCCCCAAAATCACAGCTTAAAGTCAAGAATATAAAGAAAATGCATGAACCAACTAGAGAAGCTCTTGATTGTGAAGCAAATTCTCCTTTCCAGTACATTAGGAAATATATAAAGAGCAGTAAGGAGAATATGCATACTGACATTAGGGTGTAAAGGGTTAAGGGATAGCCAAGAGCAACTCTAGCTTCCTGGGTACCTCTGAAGTGTTTTTTATCTCGAAAAACACACAAATCACACAGGAGTCAATTGTTTTATCAACAGAGCAGTTTTGCTGAAAATGAAACTCGCTACTGCAAATGAATTGAATAACAAGAATTTCTTAGTAACTTTATAGTGTTACTTTTTTTTATCCCCAGCTAAATTGCATGGGAAGGGTCTGGTAAGAATCACTAAAATCAATGATTAAGAAATTAATTAAAAGATTGACCTTATTATGGATCGACATAGGATATCTTAAAAGTTCTTCTCCAGTGACCTCCAGTAGAGCCAAAATATTACATTTAAGGCACTTACCTTATTGACTCGCCCAGCCACCTCTAGTGCTTTTTGTCTCGAATTCTCCAAGACATATTCAAAAGGATACTTAAAAGCGGTTTTGTCAAGTGTTTCCTCAAATCTGGATGGAATAACTTCAAACTTCAAGCCCTGAATTTCGAATAGGAAAATCTATGAGGAATTTATCGCTCACTACAACAAAAACATATCTAAACCTTGCAAGAATACTCAAACTTTTACAATTTTTCGCAGGATCTCGCATCTCCTCGGCGAACTACTTGCTAGAATGACTCTTTGTGCGGATAAAACCTCCAAAAGTGGCTCCAACATAATGGCGATGAAAATTACCAGGCGCGCTCGAGAACAACAGAAAAGCTTGGCTACTAAGTTTGGCGGGAAGTAGTTGTTACTAGAGTCCAGTCTACTAATAAAGTGGTGATGGAAAATAAAATTAATATTTTTGTCTTTAATTCATTATATCATCTGATATTCTATCATGTCAAGAAGATTTATTTGAAATGATTTATTTTTACCCTTCCGTTCCAAAGAATGAGAGCAAGTCTAATGAATGTAAGCTATGGTTTGTCCATGCTGGTGTCCCCAATATGTCTGTCACGCAAAAACCGCATTGGACTTTGGCCAAACTTTGTGCTAAACGAAGCTATAGAGTAAAACGACATTAATCTTTTTTCTGATCTATATTTATTCCCTGCCCACTCAAAAATCTGACAAATGCGAGTCATGTGAGCTGGGTGAGAAATTCTTTTAACTTCTTCAAACGACTAGAATTTGGTTACAGAAACGAATATAAAAAAATATTTCATGTAACCATTTCAGCTAAAAGGTTTTTTTTTGCGACAAAATCAACCCCAACAAACCTCAAACATAGTTTTTTTTTAATGATAGTGCGAGTTACAATAATTAGAAAAAAATCTTGACGCTAATTCATTATAGTTCAAATTCAAATCTGAACTTAAGTATGGGAGTTTTTTCAAGGGTGTTCTCCTGTTTGTATTTAACTTGACTTTCAATACCTTCAATTTGGCTCCTTTTTTCCGTTTCTCAGCGTTCAGTAATTATTCACCTTGACTTTAAATTCTGGATCCTAGCCATGTTCCGTAATTGACTTATAAATAACTTTGAGTTTATCCCCAAACCGGAAACCATAACTGTTTCCGGTATTATTTCGAGAGTGATTGACATGTATCAAAGCGCAGTTGTGAGAATTCGTTTCGCTGTATATCATGGGATTGCGCCGACAAGCACCTACGGGTCATTGATGAAATGAAAACATTGTGAATTGTTTTGAAGAATCTTAATATTGCCGTAGTGTTATGTTTATGGTGAAAAAAGAAACCTTCGAGAAGATATTCCGCACAGAGTTTAGCAAAATGTCGTTGTGCTGTGATTTTTCACGAGAATACAAAGGAAAATTAGAATCGGTCATTAATGACATTAAAAATGGAGGTGTGATTTGACGTTTTCCACGCATAACTCTATTGTGCCCTAATGTAGTTTTCGTGAAAAGTTGCCTAATCCTCACCAAAGAAAACCTCTGAGGCGGCGTATTTTAATGTAAGTTTTCTAGATATTACATACAAAATTAGCTTGGTGTAGTTTTGTTTGACATCGCTCGACATTGATTACGGGGCGTTACGATTTATCAGTAGACAAGCAAGTAAACACGTCAATTAATGTTCATGTGTTTATTTGGAAAAAGCGAATAACACTTGAGATGTTCGTATTTACTTGAACTTAAGTCAAAATGTTATGGAAATTTCTCAGTTAACAGGTGTGATCCCTATTAAGTTTTTTCAAACAGACCGTGGTTATCTGTAATTCCACGTTTTTAAAGCTCTGTAATTGGATGATAAGTGTTAGGTAATGCGTTGATAAACTTCCGTCATCTAGTTTGAGACGCAGTTGGGTTGCGTTTCGCAGCTGCGAAATCCGTAGCTATTTGTTCACTGTGGAAGAGGTTTCAAAGTCCTCGCGAAGTATCTATTGATTGCAGAACCGTTCCTTACCAGAAGAGCTATCATTTTCATCGTAAAATGGAGCAACCCTTGAAAGAAGAGAAGTTAAAGAGCGAGTCGTGTGATCAACCGAGTTCGTCAGCTCCCGACACAGGCAGCTCTGAGTTTCCTCGCGGCTCCGCAAATCGTAAAGAAAGAAAACGCACTCTTACAATGAACACAGCATTTGCTGAGCTTCGGGATCATATCCCAAACGTCCCCCCAGACACGAAGCTTTCGAAAATCAAAACACTCAGGCTTGCCATTAGCTACATCAAGTTTCTGATGGAAATTCTCGAGGAGAGCAATGAAGGGAAGACGAGCCGCAGTCATCGCAACTTTGTAGCGGATTTATCGTTTCAAAATGAGGGCCGAGAGAAGAGAAAAAGAGAAAATAATGTAAGTAAAATTATCTTTGTTTGGTAACTAACATTTGCGTAGCCTACGATATGCAGTTCCCTTCGCATGTTGTTGCTTTATTCGATGTTCTTTATTCAACAGCTTGCCAGCCAAAATGATTCTGCTCAGAGAAAGAGAGGTCGAACGGGATGGCCGCAGTATGTATGGGCAATGGAGCTGAGGAACTAAGATGCTCTGCCACTCCGAACCTGCTTAATTCCTAATACCTCCGGGCGCAAAATGCGAACGTGAGTCCCAGGAAAGAGAAACAGATTTTTAAACGTTGACGGTATGGGTCGCACTTGCGAAATCACGACTCACACGTACTCTTGGATCAGCCACAATTGAATGCATCACATCTATTTCCGAACCTTCGCCTGTTGTCTGCGGGACGCTATCATAAGACACTTCATCTTATTGTTCTACCGTAATTTCGTCGTTTCAATTTTACAAGTTAGATGTTGGCTCTTAAATTCACTGATCTAGCGAACATTGCTTTATTACGACGTGTACATGCAAAGCAACATACGAAGCGTCCAAATAAAGGTGTGAGGGGAGATGGCTAAATCTTCAATGGTTGAACAATTAAATTCGCAATATAGTTTTAATCGATCGGTGAGTGAAATTTTAAGCTTTTTTGACGGAGATGGCGAAGGCGCTAGATGCGCATGGGAACACTCGAGAGTATAGTGTAAAATAATAAACATTTATGGGATTAGTTTGTTATTGCGGATAGTTTTGTTTTGCAGCAAAGATAATCAACAGCTATGGCACTTGAGCATCGCGAGCGACCAATGTGAAATAATATCTCGCTTATTCTTTAAAACGTGAATCATTTCTCAGCAAAATTTCACCTATAATATAGAGACAACCTCTATTTTTTAAACGTACTTGATGACCCTTGTAAAAAACGTTGCTACATAGACCTATTATCATAATTCAACAGAGCTCTTGTGTAGTTTATATTTAACATAGATGAAAATCTTTGGTTGATTTTTAAACACTTAAAGTAGTTTGTTAACTTCAAGGTACATCAGTGAGTAAGTGGGTGGAACGAAAACACTTTAAGCTTATTTATTGTTATTTTACTCGAAGTTGTGAATATTTATAAAATTACTTACTGTTTTTACTCGAAGCGCGTCACAGAAATTTCTCGTTAAATAGCTATCAAAATGTAATATACAATTAAACAGAAAATTGCCCTCATAAACAATAGACTTTGAAGGTTTGTCATATACTAACGTACATATTATAGAAAGCTGAGGTTTTGGCGCTAAAATTCACGATGGCTTTACATGGCTCTTAATTTACGTCACATATGCTTCTTCAATCTTCGTAACTTACAAGAACACGTTTTTCTCTCGCACATCGGCGTTTGAACCTAAATCCAAGAAGTATTAAGAAATTTTGCGGTTTGTGGTTGAAAATGAGCCGGATTTCATATTTAGAACATGGTTTTAGCTGCCTCGCCCGTGCTCTAGAAATCTCAACTGATATGCAAGAGGGTTAAAGCCGAGAAATGACGGTCTTTTCTCTTTTCTCCCGCTGCTGAAGGCAAAAGAGTCAGTATGTGAAACGAATCAGCCGCCTAGTTAAAGCAGCGCTGTAGAATATTCTAGAGGCAAACAGGACATGAGCGCCAAAGGAAAACTACGTGCGGCCAAAACGTAATGCGCAGAGGAATTTTAAAAAAACGTTTCATTCATAAAAGAGTAATCAAGAGTAGGCTTTTGCTGCAAAGCGGAGGAATTTTTGACAAAACATTTCACTCGTTAAAGGGCGATCAAGAGAGAGAGACAGCTTTTGCTGTAGAGGATTAAATCCCTATCGAATCCTATAAAAACGTAACTGTCTTTTCAAAAATCTTTTTTTGCAAATTTTTACATTGCTCTAACTATTTCACAAGACACCGACTCGGAAAATTCGATCAAGTGTATCACCTGAACTTGGTTCGCCGGTATGAGTTAATGAAACCTAACCAGAACGCCGATTACATCAAGGAACCCGAAAAAACATGAGTGGATGTATTCACGACACTGCACTGGATAATTTTGTTACCCGTGCACTTAAGTTCGTTTGCCTGCTAAAGACAAGTTCTTCCTGCGACTAAAATGACCGCATTATACGTTAGTCAAGGTAAAGAAAACCGTTAATAAACCAGTCAATTTGAAATCGATCTACAGTCTTCGATCCAGATTATTTCTTAGTACTTACGAGTACTCGCGTTTTTTGAATACATTCATGAAAATGTTCCTCGAACAAAAATAAAAATGAGTTGTATTTCTGTAAAATTTACAAAACTGAACTAACTCGAGACCACTGCAAACACGTTTTTCTTTTCTCCCTTCTCATTTCGGGAAAAGTAGTTCTATGGAGTTTGCTTTCCTCGATTTCGTGAGATTTCTTCACGAACCAGGATCAGTGTACCTCAGTAACTTATTTCTAACTATAAACAGCAATAATTTCAAATTTACCAAGTCACCAATCAGTTAGGAATTGATGATCACTCCCATGTCGCAAACTAATAGGTATATTAATTTCTTTTTCTTTTTAGAATGATTATTTTAACTTCGTGATAAACGGTCATTCATGAACTGAACGAGACTACACTGTAGAAAACCGTAAGACATGTCCTCCAAAAATGGTGACGTCTCTTGAAGTAATAAGGATCAGAAGCGAACAAAGTCTAAGTCGGTTTTTGAAATATTCTCTTACATTAATTGGCATTTTTTTATAACTAACTAAAATTTCCCGTTCACACATTGCTTGTTTGTTTAATTGAATTATTTTCTAAGAAAATCAAGAGGAATTTCCAGAATTTCCGATCTCTCACATTGCGAGTGAATTTACTGAGTAAAGGAACAATACTTTCCTCAAACTCCCTATTTCAAGGATAATAGATGTGTCAGGAGTGTGATGAATAATAAGTACAATGAATCTTCGACATAACTGATGTAACAAATAAGAAAAAGGCATTTAACGCAAGTGTTTGTTTTTCGAGAGATTCGTAGAAGTCACGACAAAAAACCCTGCCAAAAGTTGCCTCCTCACCATGAAGCTCATCAGAAGTGGAAGGTCTTGCTCTTCCGCGGAGGGTTTCGACCTTGCTTTATTCAATTATGTCTAAAGTACGCATTAATAATTTATTTTGTGGCTTACTTTGTCTTTCAAGAGCCTTTTCAGAATAATAGATTCCTTAATCTGAGTAACGGGATATCTGCTTCCCTTAAAGAAGAAAGGTCTCTTTCTCAGAAATTCACGTGTTTCTTATGAGGTCTGTTTCCCCTTGAGATTTAAGTAAACTCTCGTGAGAAATTTTCCTCAGTGTTTTGCTGACAGTTTTATCCGTTTATTAAAAGTAAACATTGGGGGGAAAACTTGAAATTCAAACAACTTCGTAGAAAAATAAGATCTCTTGGAATAACAAATAGACAGGTTTTTGTCCATGAACGTAGATATTTTCACGTGAATATGCGATTTGTTCATGACAAACAGATCTTCTGTACAAAAATATTCCAAATATAGGTTTTTTTTCAAGTTTCAACCAGAAATTTAAACTTGCAGTTGTTTTGATTGAAGTTAAACCAGTTGTAGTAATTTGTAGCTGCAATTCAGTCCGCGTAAAATAACCACGAAGGGAAGTGTTTACTTTTATTTTTTCATCCTTCCGCTGAGTGATTCCGAAAGAACTGCACTTAAATACGAAAAGGAAACAATACTTAATCAAACTAAGGCTTTATTCATTAAGAAATTACTTGAGAATGCTTTTCGTGATGAGGACTTTTTTCTGTGAGTGGTGAAAACACTATGATGAAAGTTTTAAAACGTTTAAACTAATCAATTGTTTCTCAGATCGATGACAAGTTATAGTAAAACTTACTAAAGTAAAATTTCCTTGTATAAACTCGTGGAACCCAGCGAAACTGTTTCAGAAACAAGTTACATGGCGAACTTTCCGTTAGAACACACACGCCCGAGGAACAGATTAGCCATTTTGAAATGTCTCCAGGGCAAATCTTATCGGTTTGATGAAATTGTAGGACCGCACAGCGTAAATGTTTCATTAGTTTTCGTTGATTAGATTTTCTCACTCACTTCAATGTGCCTTATAGTTTATTCAATATCATCAATAGCTTCCACAAACCATCATTTAAAACACATCAGTAAACATATGTTTGTGATTATTTACGCCCACGAAGTACTTCAAGAATGCTTATTATTTGATAAAAATGACAAAAAACTTCGGTTTAGGAGTAAATGAATTTTTAGATAACAAATTATCAGGTTGATAAAGTTAGACCTTTGCCTTCTGTTATCTCTTTTAACTTTGCACTCAGTGGCAGTCTTAGACTATCTCCTCGTCTTCTTGAAAATACTTAAAACGACTTAAAACGTCTAATCTGTCGAAAGGTCAAACATTAAGAATGGCACGTTATAATCACTTTAACAGCTCCACAAAAGACCGTTCTTAGCTCTAAGCTTAAGAGTCTTCAGACCGGTGTTCATTACAGCTCCCACTTAAGGTTCATAATTCTTGGAGTTGCTCTACATCTGTGGCTATTTAGTGGAGCGCTGGAAAGAAAGTAAACATTTAAATTACTTTTTAATTATTCCCTGAACAAATTAAACCTATTTGTCAACTGAAACTGTTAACAAACTATCGTTCTAGCAACATCATTAAACTGTTCTAACTTTAGTGGCGCAGATCGGGCTAGTTTGTAAATTCAATTTTGTCCTGTCGCATTCATGCTACGTGTGACTTCGTTTGGCACGACGAAGAGTGTTATAATTGCACTTAGAGCTTTATCTGCGAAGATAACACCTAACAATGGCATAGTCTACGCGCAGAATGATATATTCGTTTTCGAAAGCTACAAATGGATTAGTATTAGCTCTCTGGGATTTAAAACTACAACAGAAACTTACCGTTAAGGTGTAAATTCCGGAAATGACAACGAAAAAAACCTTTGCAGGTTATGCCGTAAAGATGCACTCGAACTGCCTGCTATGTACACTAGAATTTCACTGTTGATTGTTTTGTGTAAAAGCCATCTTTCAGTGAGATAAGGAGCTTTATGTCAAGTATTTAAGATGGGGGAAAGCCAGGGTGATACACCAACTTGAACTCTCCACAAAATCAAACTCACGACAAAGAGCGAAAGCGGCGAAATAACACCCCAAAATTGTCTTACAACCTTTCAACTGTCTAATCTCGATAATGGATTGTTTAAATTTAACACCCAAGACATGTAGAGCAGTTCTGTTTTGCTTTTTTATGTCGCGTGAGTTTCCTATCAGACGGAAACTGTTGGCCCTAATCCCATTATAACCGTCTACCTCTCGAACGATAAAAACTAGAAATCGCGATTTATTTGCGATATGCGTAAAAGCTACACAGCTGAAAATATTTTGACTATTTTCAGAAGCAGTTCAAGTCTTTCTTATACCTCTTAGTTATCCCCTTTTCGTGTTGGGAGAGAAGATTAATAGAAAATATATCATTCCCCGCGATGAATGCAAAGTAATCTTGCATGACTAAAATTTAGGCACTACCAGAAACATTCAAAATATTTACTTGAACACGATATGCCGAGTGAAGGTAAAAATGAAGGCGTATTACTGAGAATTTGGGTTTACAAAACGTCAAATAACTTTTTTTTTTCGTTTTTCAAATAATTAAGAATTCCTTTCTATCAAGAGGATCAATAAAACGTAGAGATGATGTCATCTACCCCAGTCAGACAATGTCATGGCAACCCAAGAATTTTTGTTCCTAAGCAATGAAAAGAAGGAAGATCCTGTAAGAGAGAACATCAGTCCAACTGTACTTGAGAACCAAAAAGCCGACGGTACAATCCTATCATTTGCTGAAATGCTTTGCATAAATAATGTGTTAACCTATTGCTCAGTTCTTGAACCATGATTGGCTCCGTGGCGAAACTGAATTCTAAATTGGCTGTTGTTCCGTTGCCATGCTGTCAATGCTCTGTAGTAAATGCAAGAAGTATTTTAAAAAGTTTGCCATTGCCTTATCATGCGAGTTACATCGTATATCGAAAAAACGCTGATGACTTTTTTTAGAGATATTCTACTTGGCTGAGGTCCAAAGCACCCATGTATGAACCAAATCCGTTGAATATTCCTAAATAGCTCTCAAAGTTTTAAAAGTGACGAACTCGTTTGAAGTTTTTAGACAC